ACATGAAAATCACGACGTTGGCAGATTGAGAGCCATTTAATTTGCTTCTGTAAGAGGAGACGTGGTTCATTTTCTAAACCCATAAATAAAACGTAGGCACAAATTCTGTAGCCATTCCAACTTATTGAATTGATCCTCTGTGACACCCAGATAGCATTTTTTATGCAACTTAGAATGGCAAACAAGCTGACAGCCCTCCTGATGGAAAATGGTAACCGTCGTCTATAGACATGAGCAATACCATGGACATAACAGAGTATACTGTTTCGCTCATGAGTTGTCGTTCCCGAAGACTCATCTGTTATTCCTCTATACCCTGTAAATTAAATGTCGTATTACCCTTCAAACTGAAACACAGCCATGCAAACACAACTGCATCACGGTAGAAACACAAATGTAACAAAGGTACCCAAGCAATCGACTTTTGTACAAAGTCTCCCTGTGGTAAAAGCATACATAAACATAGTCAAGGAGAGAAGTAATAAGGCTTCATATTCTTTTAAATACTTGTTTTTATTAATGATAATAATTTGTTATTTACCAAAAACACAGTTACATATACTAATTAGATGTTAAATTTTGTTTGCAATGTTCAGTACAGGTATGTTTCGCCATATCCAATAACATGCAAATCATTGTAGTTTGTATTTATTAGTTAAAATGTACAATTTACATGACGTACATATTGTTTTATTGTTCCTCCAGTGTCAGTCCCCATGTCTAGTTTGTTTAGAAATACCTCATGTAGACAACTGGACCGGTTTTAACTAATGAAATACAATCCAATTTATCTTACAGCTGCAAGTGACAGTGAGTACATGAAAAATAGCCGAGTTCGTGTTGCGAGAAATGTTACGAAATGAAATATATCTCAATGTGGCTATCATATGGAAGGGCACATTAAAAGAGGAATACCGCAAGAAAGATTTTATGTAAAAGTTGTCGCTCCCATTCGTCAGCCAGTCAACTGCATGACTGTGTTTCGATTAAGCTCATTAATTTAAATTCATTATCATTTAATGAAATATTTTTTTTATTAACCATAATATCACAAGCGCATATGATATACTAGTCACATCATAAACAAGATAATTTCACATACTGTGACATAATGCTTGTTGACTAGTTAGTGTTTGCTATTGAAAGTGAAATATCAGTTACAATTTCACTTCATTGCCAAAATAGCGCAACCGATCACTAACGAATAAATTAGAACATAGTGATAATTTGTAAGTTCATTTTGAATGATTTGTAACAGTATATAACGCGATGTAGCTAAAATGACGTATGATTTCGCACAGCATATAATATTTCACATGTTACAAATTAATTATTGTATAAATTATTCCTAGATTCGATAAGAAGCGGAATAGAAAGAAAATACTTACAACTGTACTCTCCATACGTTCGAGATCAGAGGCAGAGATCATCAGAAACTGGCAGAGGTCAATTATTAGATTATACATTGGAAATATAACAATAATTATAACCACTTTTAGGCGAACACATTTATCTTACGAATTATTTTTAAAGTATATCATCATCACCAGGCCACGACTTAATTGAGAGCAATTAAGGTGGTGATTAGATATAATAGTAAAATTACTGAGTATGGAAGCAAAACCCCTTAGTGCTCAAAAATAGCAACTTGTAAACGGTATCATAACCTCTCAATATGTGGAGGCTTACGTTCAGCAATGGAAAATTAACAGCTTAAATAATGATGATGATGATGATGACGTATCTTCGTCTTTAGACATAACAAAGTATTCTGTAATGCCCTTAATACTGTAAACAGTTAGACATAAATGTCTAAAAACGACAAATTTCCATCGTTAACGTGTTTGCTAATTCTAAGTAAAAAAATACATATTTTTACTAGATCACTCTAAACCATTGGATTTTTGCTTTATTTTTACTGACCGTTTCTTTATCTGATACGTTAATGATTTTGATAACTACAGGTTTATTGCCCGCGATAGTACCTAGTTTGTTACATTTCTGCGCAGTTGAAAATCACGGAGAAACTAATTCACTAGTAGATAATACGTGTAGACTGACACAGAATTTTTTTTTATTAAAGTATTAATATAAGTCAAGTCAATTGCCCCATCGTGACAAACTCACCAAACATTTTTACACTTTCTAGAAGGCATAGCGTAGATGTTAGCCATAGTCTAATGGGTTCACTAGTCCCCATTACTAATAGTTCCATATTTATGGGATCATATGATAATTGCCTTGCTATATAAAAACATATTAATAGACTAATCCTAGTAATATGATAATTTGGGAAGTTGATACTTGAATGTTTTAAGGTTCGAATATTTATTAATGGAAATACATACATACGTACACACATATCTGTCGCGCCTGTAATGTAATAGAGATCTGATTGGAATAAAATTTTAATAAATAATGTACACTAATACATTATTTATCCTAGACTAATACATAGGATACATTTATATTATTTCACGAGAACAAAGCTGCGAGATAGGTACAACAAGTATATGATAAGCAATTAAAAATTCTGTCTGTGTATTTATCTTATCATCGGAACGTTTTATGTACTATTGATACTAAACCTAAGTGCAGTACTTATATTGATAGCATTTGACGCCATTGCAATTTTTCGCTCGAGACTACATTGACCTCTATGATTTGAGATAAATAAAAAAAATATGTCGAGAATGCCACAGCTATAAAAAAATTCTAAACTAGGCATAGTTATTATAGATAACGGAGGCGAATGGATTGTTAGTAATGCGGACCACCAGTAGTCCCATGACTAGAAATATACCCTGTCGGGTCGACCTCTACGTGGTTACCCCTAGAAACTATTACGCTAAATCTCAGGTGTATTTATTCATCACATTAGGCTTACTGACCTTTCATCCTCACTTATCATCCCTCACTGGTGCCCCGCCAGCATATACCGATGATGCAGGCTGAGTTACCATTCCATTTTCACCCATTAAAAAAATATAGATACCGGGGGGAAAGGGATTTTCAACAATAAGTTCTAACAGCACTAGCAAGCAACAATATGTCCTATTAAGTCCACGCGGTTCTCCCTGGAAACTATCTTGGTTAATTCTCAGGGAATACGCCGCGATTAGCTAACCTATCGTCTTTCACTAGCGCCCCGCTAGCGTATGCCAATAGCGCAAGTAGGCTTACCATTCTACTACCACTCATTAAAAAAACTATAATTAGTAATGATAGTTTTTTAATGACTCATTACCGCTCTGATATGAATATATTGCGTTCCCTGGAGATTGACCGCGGAGAAAAGGTCATCACCTATTTCATAATCGCCTATACTGATCAGATATCCATATTAATTTCGATAATGTTTTTTTATTTAGATATTATATATTGATTATTTAGCCCTTTCAGACCCAAGATTTTTTTTCTTTCAGATTAAATATATTTTCTTGTTTTGGAACCAAACCATCTTGCCGGCACGCACGAGACTACTGCACCACCTAACCGCTAAAATGATTTCTTATTGGCTGATTTAGAATCTCACTATCATGTTATTTCAGCTTCGTGCGTAAAAATGAATTGCGCGCGGTTTTAGAATTTTTTAAAGTTACAACTCACGCCCGTATCGTTCAGGTCTGAAAGGGTTAGGCAATTATATTGATATTGCTTTATATTGTCCACTCCTACCCAAAACGTTAAATAAAAAATATTTGATTGTCAATTTTAAATTAAAATAATTTAAAATTGTGTTCCACAAATAAAAACCGACTTTAAAATTGTGGCAAAATAAATTATATTGATTTAATTAAATACTAAACTACTGCAACAATTTGGACAAAATTTTCTATTGGACTCATTTGAAAGTATAATTTTACACATAAAAAATAATCTGCCAAATCGATTTATCAATAACGGAGTTATAAAGTAACAAACGTTTTGAATTGAAAAATCTTCTTCTATTTAAAGTCGGTGGAAACATGTAAAAAGTTAATATTGTCTGTACGAATAAGAAATCTTATATACACATCTTTTTATTTATTTCGTCTAACTAAACATTATATACCTAGTAATAGTTTGAGTCATATGGCGGAACTTTGAATGAGATAATTCATAATCTATTCTTTATCCCATCCACGTGCATATGATAAAATAATGGAGTAATTTTTTTTATATATTTATCATAATCACCAAACCATAATACTCTACATAATACCATAACCAATATATAATGATTATGACGTTATTTTTTAATCATATCTATGTAGATGGGATAAAGTGTAGATTAATAAATTTTCCATTCAAAATCCCGCCAGCTGATACAAACTAGAAATTAATTTTCACTACAAAAAGATCGCCGTAGCGTTAATATCTATCCATTGTACCAACCGAAGTGCTGATAAAATTTCCAATTTTATGCTAAGCCTTGAGGAATTTAATGTCAAAATATAACTAGTGCAAATTTTAATTTTTTACCAGCAATATCCCGTGGTGTCACCCACGTGACTCGGTTCATAAAGTATACTATGAACATCCTAATGATCCTATGTACTCGTATATCCTAAGTTACGTATTTTCAAATTCAAATCTTTTTAAAGGTTTTTGCGTTAAAGAGTAACATTAAGCCTTCCATTCATCGTTACAAACTTATATAATTATAATATTAATATTATATATATTAGCTTCAATCCTATTTTATGAACAGAAGTGTATGGATATCATAGAAGGAGATTTTTTACTTATACACCTCTGTTCACTTGTATTTCTTCAGCCACTCGGCTGCTTGCAATTATAGCTATGATTGCAAGATTGTATATTGATTTGAAGCGCGTGATATGCTAGTTAAATAATAGAATGTGGAAAAATATTAAATTAGAAATAATAATGCATGTGTTAGTCTGTAATGTCCATATATTGTATACTGAACAATACGTTCAAGTCTACAGGCGACAGTTACTACATTTTATTATTATAATACTATAAATACAACCTTTATTTTTAATTTGTTTCAGATGATAAAAGAAGAACAATAATGATAGCAGTGATAAACAAACCAAGTAATGCAGACGTGTACCAACATTTTTAAGTCAATTATCTTTTGTTTCACGCAATGTTAATAATTCCTACATAAACATTATGAGACAAAATAATACAGAGGACAATACAAGAACGAAACAAATAAAACCGTACAAACATGATAGTAGCAAACCTAATTGGTTTATGATGCCCAGTTAAAAACAATACAAAATTATGCCGACCGAACAATGGTTAACAGATGAACCAATATTCAATGGTACCTTGACAATACAAAATGAACACGATGCAAATTCAACATTCACAGACCCAATAGAAAATAAAGCTATCCAAGCAGCTTTTTGTGTTGCATACACTATTATATTCGTCGTTGGAATATTTGGAAACGCTCTAGTATGTTACGCAGTAATCAGGAATCGAGCAATGCAAACTGTAACTAATCTCTTTATCACGAACCTTGCATTATCGGATATATTCTTGTGTGTATTTGCCGTACCATTTACTCCTCTTTACACATTTCTTGGAAGATGGGTCTTTGGTGGCTTGTTGTGCCATATCATGCCTTATGCACAAGGTTGTAGCGTTTACATTTCAACTCTCACACTGACTTCAATAGCTATAGATAGATTTTTCGTCATCATCTATCCATTCAAACCACGAATGAAAATCAAGACTTGTATTGGCCTAATAATTTTTATTTGGGTTTTCGCCTTGTCCGTTACTTTTCCTTATGGATATTACATGGCACTTGAAGATGCTTACTGCGCTGAAAAATGGCCTTCTGATCATATACGTAAAGCTTTTGGAGCGGTTACAACTATAATGCAATTTGTTGTTCCTTTTATTGTAATGGCATTTTGCTACACTTGTGTTAGTATTAAATTAAACGATCGATTGAAATCTAGACCAGGAAGTAAAAATAGTAAGAAGGAAGATGCAGAAAGAGAAAGGAAAAGGAGAACGAATAGAATGCTAATTGCAATGGTAGCTATATTTGGCTTGTCGTGGTTGCCACTGAATCTAATAAATATCAGTAGTGACTTTTACTCTTTAGCAGAAGACTGGACGTATTATATGGTGTTATTTTTCCTTGCGCACTTCATAGCAATGTCTTCCACTTGCTATAATCCATTTTTATATGCATGGCTCAATGAGAATTTCCGCAAAGAGTTCAAACAGATACTTCCATGTTTAGGAGCTTTAGTCACAAAGAAATCTAAAAGGAAATTTAGCCAGTCAGAAAAAACTGGTGCATTTCGTTCAGAGAAAACCTGTAACGGTAACGAAACTGTCCAAGAATCTTTGTTGACGTCAACAATTAACAAATTGCCTTCAGTTAGATATAGAATCGAATTTGACGAAAAATTAAAGGGACGCGAAGATGAAGGAGTGGAGAATATAAGTCCTGACGAAAAGCCAATAGACAATACAAGTCCTGAAGAAGATCGTATGAATATGTATATGTTTGTAGATAAATCACTAATTACTTCCGATAAGGAGCCGATTGTATCTGCATTGTAATCCAACAGGTCAGTATTTAAAATCGTTGTGAAATTTAAAAATTGAATCCTGTGATAGAACAAAACATAATTTCTTTAATCTATTCCAACTCAGTATTCAATTACTGCAAAGAAGCCATCCATTAAATTGTCAAAGTGCCTTTTAAGCCCATAATTTATGATCCTTTACAGCAAAATAATATACTTTATAATTAAAACATTTGAAATAGTTCAACAATCAAACCTATTTAAGAAAAGCCCAGCCCACCTTTGAATTACATGATGCCCACGTCAAAATTCGTGGTGATACACGAACAAAGCTTTGTATTGACATGTCTGAGAGTACATAAGCGACTTTTAGAAGGGTCTAAACCTCCTAAAAAAATAATTTTAAACACGACTAATGGTCAAATCTTATTTCAATATTTTTTCCTATCTATTTTTTTATCCCTATGCGTCGTCTCTATCGTTTTATGATATTTGATTAATCCAAAAATACAAGTAAATACAACCTATCAGAAATAGATGATACGAATAATATTTATTTTCAAAGATATTATGAATACAAAATCTAATTGAATCTCAATTCACAACTAATTAACTGTGAAGCAAATTTTTTATTTTTTCTTTTCTTTCTATTCTATCTCACTCGTGACAGTACTTCAATACAAAGTCACTACTCAACTGATAACAATTATAACTTTATTTCAAAATTTTCTCGTAATGATAAAAGCATTTTTAACTTTTACGTCTTCAATACATTTTCTAATGAATTAACAGGACTTGTAAGTAATTGGAATCTCTGATGTAAAAGTGACTAAAAATCTATGAAGTAATAATTTCGAATGAGAACATTTTGAAAGTTGTTTAATGTTTTGCACTCAATGAGATATTTGAGTTAGGAAAGATTTTATAAAATTTTATATTACGTAAATATATTCCAGTAAGATAATATAGAAACTATAGTATAATCCTGTTGCTACAACTAGATAAAATAGATATTAGGTATATATTTATATAAGTTATTACTCAGAGAGAAAAATGAATATAATAATTTTATACTTTCCTTGAAATTATCAGGAAGTCCTTGACTCTGCAGATTTTTCCACCAACTCACGCCTTGTCAATATTTTTTATGCAACTTAGAATGGCAAACAAGCTGATAGCCGATCTAATGGAAAGTGATAACTGTCGCCTATACACATAAAAACATGGACATAACTAAGTATACTGTCTCGCTCATGATACCTCCCATGCATTACCATTTCTGAGGACTAAGGTGTTATGCCTCTGTAACCTATAAATTCACTGAGTTATCTCACCGTATACTCTGTTATATCCATGGTACTATAAATGTCTATAGGCGACAGTTAGCTCTGTGGGCCATCAGCTTATTTGCTATTCTAAATTGTATAAATAATATATAAATACTAACTAATCCGGCAAACGTTGTTCTGTCGTATAAATATTTTTGTCTGGATAGAGACACCCTAATCACCTCGCGTTATGAAATATATCTTACGAAATAATCTCATATATACTTAATGTACATAAAAAAATCATAAAAATCGGTCGAGCCGTATCGGAGGAGTTCGACAACAAATATCGTGACACGAGATTTTTATATATACGATATATTATATCGCTAATGATAGCTTCTAGAGCTAAGCTTCTGTACACTGTAAGTTCACTAGCAAAATTCACTTTTTAAACTATTAATAATAAAAATATAATAGAAATACATTAAACTACATATATAATAAATAATATAGCCATTCATAATTGTTCGTATACGAAGACTTGATTCATTATCTTATTTAATATAATTTACAATCCTCTATAAATAATATTATTTATAGTGACTTCGCACTACTTTATTGTAAATTATGGTATTGTTTATTTTCGTTCAATAATAGTGTATAATAAATCATATAACAAATATGTTTATTCTTAAGATGTGGTCGTTAAAAATAGTTGAAGTACTGTTGAACATGCAGCACTCAACGATAATGATGTTCTTATTTTATTATTTGCTATCTTTGTATCGTGATTTTCGATTTTTTCTCACTTTTTTAATTTATAAAAAAAAATAGGTATTCTGACTTTTTGTAATAGTAATACAAAAAAAGTCTGCATTATACGAAAGCGTTATTTAATCTAGGTAGGTATTTGTTCTTATATTATATAATAATAAATTAAACAACAATGATCATCATCTTCCTACCCTTATCCCAATTATTATTTGGGGTCGGCGTAATATGTTTTTTATCTATATTACAGATTTGGCTTATAGTTTTACTACCGGCCGACTGCCTGAAGTCGACCCTCTTTGTGAATGCATTTGTTGGTGGTTACCGCCAAAATAAATTGAAATAAATTAAACAACAGTCGATAAACAATATTTTCTAGTAAATCGAAAATAAATTTATTAGTATTGATATTATTATTAATAAGAACTTAATATAATTTTAATAAAAAAAATATGTTAACGTTTTAAATATCAATATATATGCATAAATGAAATTAAGCAAATAAATAGGCATTTCGTTTTTTTGTAATACAAATATTCGTAATTAAAACAATCTGTTGACATTATATAAAAGCATGTTTTTTATATATCACGAAGGTGGCAAACTAGCATACAGTCCGTCTGATGGTAAACGGTTACTGTAGCCTATGGACATTTACCGCAAAAAAGACGCCGTTTGTCGTATCTCCTCACTTTCAGGGCACTTCCCTTGATAAAAAGTCAAGTCTAGGAATTCTGGGCGTTGATATATCTTGCGACGTCCAGTTTTGCGGTCATCTGGAGGAGAAGGCTAAGATAGCTTCCAAAAAGTTAGGAGTGCTCAATAGGGTGAAACGATATTTCATGCCAGAACACCGCCTGAAATTATATAAAGCCCAAGTCAGGCCGCATATGGAATACTGTTCTCACCTGTGGGCAGGAGCGCCACAGTACCAACTCCTTCCGTTAGACCGCATTCAAAGTCGGGCGGCTCGAATTATCGATAGTCAACGCCTTACTGTCCGACTTGACCCATTGAAACTGCGCAGAGATGTTGCGTCTCTGTGCATCTTCTACCGAATTTATCATGGGGAGTGTTCTGAGGAATTGTTCGGATTGATACCTGCTGCTGATTTTCACCACCGTACAACCCGCCACAAACTAAAGTTTCATCCCAATCATCTGGACGAGTGGCGGTCTTCCACCGTGCGTTTTTCAAGGCACTTTCTTCCACGCACAACCATTCTTTGGAATCAACTTCCAGCAGCAGTATTTCCGAACCGATACGACAACATAACCTTCAAGAAAAGAGTATATTCCTTTTTAAAAGGCCGGCAGCACACCTGCAATGCCGCTGGTGTTGTGGGTGATCATGGGCGGCGGTAGTCACTTACCATCAGGTGAGCCGCATGCTCGTTTGCCCCCTGTGTTGTAAAAAAAAAAAAAAAAAAAAAAATTTGCAACACTAGAGATGTCACGTGCGCGTTGCTGAACTTGAAGAGGCCTTAATATATCCTTTTTTAAGAATTATATACTGTAGTCTATAGAGAAAACCTCAGCAGGGAGCTCTTTTCACAGCCTGAGCGTTTGCGGGAAAAAATTCCTCTGAAATCACACGTAGCTCCTCATCGAGCCTCAAAAAAGGGTCAACTTTTTATCAGCTAAATGTCAAATTAGCTGACTTGTTGTTTTAATTAATGTTCTATATATTTACGCACACAATATTTAATTATTTAATAAATAAAATGGGTTTTCATGCATTAAAAAGGTGCAGAATATATATAAGACAAAATAAATATTGAAGTTATAAAGGAATCACTCATAACTATTTACCACGCAAAATTGTATGAAAAAAAAATGACCCGCTTATCACAAAGCATTTGTATGGAGACACTCTATCTATATAATCTAAAAGGTTCAACCAGATGATTATATTAATATTATGAATTTTTTTTATTTCAGATATCGTTCCCGTAGCAACGAGAAAATATTTTTAAATTTAAAGTTGTAATTATACATTTAGAGATACATTGTACCTATTCGTAAAGAATTTCGTAAACACAGTTAATTACAAAATTTTAGATTCTTTATACTTCTGTCCAAAGTCAATTAACATAATAAAGAACACGTATTTATACATACGAATCGAACAATATTTTATCATAAGACAAATCAAAACATAGAAATTGATTCTATTTTTAATTTTTTGTTTTTTTTTTTTTTGTCAGTCTTAGTAAAATAATTAAGAACCTTTATCAACCAGCTAAAAATCATATTCAACTGAAAATAACAAAAAAATAAACTGTCCTTTGTTGCTTATATTCGCAATGGCTTCCATAGAATTTCCACTGCCAGCGTGTGGCAATTTAATTTCCGCAATATAATATACTGAATGGCAGCCATGGTTGATAACAAAAAGAGAAAATTTATTAATTAATTTGTGTTATAAAAAGTCGTTATTTGCCAATAAGTGTTTTCCTTTTAACATCAAAATCAATCTCGAAGAAATGAGAAATTATATATTTATTTACTTTGTACTTTGTCTTACCACAAAAAAAGTTAAACTTGCAATAGAAAGGTATTCAATACTTGCTTAGACAATTTACTACAAAATCAAAATAAAAGAAGTGTGCTGCTTCTCACGTTAAAAATAGAAATAAACAAATTTCAATATAATAATAATCTATAGATTTTTTGCAGATTTATTTATATATAAACATAATTACACTAACTAAGTTCAGCGATGGACAGCTAAAGACTGACTTGATGATAATGGTGTGAAAGACACTAAACTAAACAAAATTTAATCAATTATACGAAGTTTTGTTAACCACTATTTAGATAAACAGTCTTATAAATATTTTTTGCAATAAGACCGTATGTATTTAAATAGATATATTTATAAATTAGATACAAGTACCTTATAGTCGTAACATAAGCTTCGCTTCATTTTTATTATTATTATTATATCAGCCGTCAACTGTCCACTGTTGAACATAGGCCTCCTCCATAATGAGAGGTTTTGCCAGTAGCTACCACGATTGGCAAGCGTATTGGCAACTACAGTTAGGCTTTGGTCATGTTTTAAGAGGGACTTACTACGCTACTGCCATCCCTCGACCATTAAGTTCCCTTAGTCGCCTCTTACAACAACCACGGGAAAAGAAGAGATCACCGATTCTATGCCGGGACACGGCCAGTTTTTGTTTAGCTTAATTGGAACTAGATAGCGTTATGTGATATGTTCATTGGCAACGAATTATTTCACTAAGACTGAACGCTACTTATACCGTTAAAATTACTGTTTTACTTAAACTTTTATTTGTATATTTTTAATCCTTGTAAGTGTAGATATAGAATTATTTAATTCTAATTACCTTCTTTTTGAAAATATTACAATTTAATTTATGAAGTTTCAATCAAATTAATCCGAATTTGTGTAACTATTTTTTATAAAGTCCAATTAGTTCTCGAAAATTCTTGAATCTAAAGAAATAAATATATCTATTCGATGTATAAAATTTAATATTATATCAAGACAGTGATACTTTTCAATCAATCATCATCATATCAATTTTTGAGTGCCAATAACATCGAATTTTTGAAATAATGATGATATTGAAATATAAATAAGTACTGTACATAATTAGTAATATTAGATTTAGTACGTTAAACGTAATTCATATAATAAAATGTTATGTAAATTTATAAATGTAAATAAATATTAATGAAAAAAGTATTTTCGTCAATTATGTAGTTCTTTGAGAACTTTGAGCCCGTTGTCGAAAGTACTTTTTAAATCTAAACCTTAAGTAGTATGCAAGAAATTTAAATTTGTATAGTTTAGATATGTCATAACTATTTTTATAACTGTATAAAAAAATATCGTGTATTATCTACGAAGCGACGCCTTGTAATTAATTAAATGTCAATGGAGAAATATGTGCAATTTGCTGTAATTAAATATAAATAAAGTATACCAAAGATTATGGTTTATGATTTTTATCTTATATTAGTAAGTACGTGTTAGGTAAATGAAGAATTGAATAATAAGGATATTAAGGCCAGATCTCCACTACAAAACCGATCTCGGTTCGCTCTCGGTCCGCTCTCGGTCCGCTCTCGGTCCGATCTCGGACCGCTCTCGGTCCGATCTCGGACCGCTCTCGGTCCGCTCTCGGACCGCTCTCGGACTGCTCCGGTCCATAATAAGAGCGTACCGAGCGCGAACCAAGACCAATACCATAGTGGGAATCCGGCATTATGGTCTTTTACTTAATACTGAATATTCTGAAAATTTAATATAAATGAATTTGAAAATGTTAAGAGACCAGATAAAAAATTCTTCCAGCAAGGAAAGTACTAACATAAAGTGTAAAGTATTGCCATAATAATTAAGTGCCTACATCTGTTCAGTCTACATTCTTCTCTTAAAAGAGGAGAGAAAACGGTTTTTCTCTAAATAAAAAAATAAAAAAGTGGAAGTAAAGTTATAAATAATCTGTATATTTTATAGTTATGCTACATAGTTTGTCTTATATTAATTTTGAGAAAATTTAACCTGTCGTGTTTCTTTAAGAAGCAAAAAATCTCTTTTTGCGGGTTCGATCCCCGCGCAACACAAACATTTGTAATGATAACTTTTTTAATACATGAAAATAAAATGGTAACACCGCCTGCGCTATCGGAATACGCTAACAGGGCCCCAGTGAGAAATGAAAGGTGAGCATGAAAGAAGATCAATAAGTCCATTGTGACAAATTCGCCAAGGTATCCAGATGTAATCATGTGGAGGTCGATCTGATAGGGTATATTGTTAGCAATAGGATTTTAGACTCCCACTACTAACAATCCCTGTCTCCCCTTATTCATAAGTATATCTATAATATGGGTGTTTTTCTTTGTAGCTTTCCTACACTAGGTTACCAGTAAACTATTTTTTTTCTTTCTCTCACTATATACTTAATTTATATAATATTTAATTTATATAATAATTTACCTGAGGGAGACTTTGTACAAAAGTTGATTGCTTGGGTACCTCTGTCCCATTCGTGTTTCAACCGTGAAGCAGTTGTGTTTGCATGGCTGTGTTTCGGTTTGAAGGGTGAAATATGGCGTGAATTTACTGGGTACAGAGGAACAACACCTGAGTCCTCAGGAATGGCAATGCATGGAGGGTATCATGGGCAAAACAGTATACTCTGTTATGTCCATGGTACTGCTCGTGTCTATAGGCGACGGCTATCACTTTCCATCAGGTGGGCCGTCAGCTTGTTTGCTATTTTAAGTTGTATAAAAAAAATACTTAATTTTATTTAATTATTATTTTAATTTCTAACTACGACTATTAAATGTCAATCCAATGTATGTAAAAAACGTCTCGCAATTCTTCAATGCGTTTTGTCAAGTTTGAAGTTGCTGTTTTTTTTTTATGTGAACCAAAATGTACTTATCCGTAATGGAACAGTTAATTTATCTTCATATTTATCTTTGTTACAAATGGATCTGTAAAGAACGTGCGAACTCAAATGTTATTTTATCCGAAGTACTAAGAATAATAATGGATCAGCTGGAATGGTGTTGTTCTAATAGAAATAAAGGTTGGAATACTTAAACATGTTTCTTGTAATACAAAAATATCTAATCAATTGCAATGTTCACAAAATCGTTTGTATGAAATTTGTATGTACCTGTACATTTATTGGAAGTGGATACTGTTTTTATTTAATTAAATCCTATGAATATTATGAATGCGAAAGTTTATAAAAATACATGGATAATTGTTACTCTTTCACGCTAAAACTATTAGACAGATTTGAATAAAATTTGGTGCATGAGTAAGTTATATCAACCTTCTACCAAAAACTGCTTCTATCTAAGTAATATAGATGTTTTTGGTAGAATTTTGAAATAAGAATAAGATTAAAATCTTGTATTACAATTGATTAAGGATGATATAATTTAATTTTTTGCGTCTGTTGTCATTCAAAAATTATATTTAAATATTTGTTTTAATTTAGACAATCAATTTATATATAATTATTATAGCGGCATATAAAACGACCCGTTGCCTTTGTCAGTCGAGATCCTGGGATTGTATTCTCTAGTTATATCCTAACCTATCACATAAGGGGAGAAAGTGATCGTTAATAATGGGGTCTAACTGACCCATTGCTAGCAATACACCCTCATCAGGTCAACCTCCACGTGCTTTCCCCTAGAAAACATCGTGGTTAATTTTAGTGAAATTCGTCACGATGGGTTAACTGACCTGCTTTCATCGTCACCTATCATCCCCCACTGGCGCCCCACCAGCGTATACCGTTAGCGCAGGCGGGGTTACCACTCCATTATCACCAATTAAAAAAACCTATTACATAATATACTTTTTGTACTGATTAATGCAGGTGAAGCCGCAAGACACTGCTAGTAACAAATAGACATTGAAGAGTAAGTAAGTAAGGCTCAAGGTATAAAATTATTATCAATGTTTTTAAATAAGCATAAATTTAGTGTTCATAAATTGAGATTGAATGAAATTAATTTAGGCAGGTAAAATTACATAATTGAATTAATTTATATTAAAAAATAAATTAAACAATTTTAAAAAGAACTTTAGATAAGATTTTAAATATTTTTCAATTTCTTATGTCTTACTATTATACATATTATAGAAAAATTGTAACTGGATGATGATTGTTCATGGGAGATATTTAAAAAAGAATTATATGAAGGATCTTAAAAAGAGCAGTTTAAGCCAAAACAATAATTATTAGAAACTTTGTCTGCCTTTCTGTCTGCATGTTTGTTCCGCGATCATATAAAAACTACTACGCCAAATTCAATGCGGTTTTCATAGTTGTATTTCTTAAAATCTAACTTGTATAAGTTTTGTTTTTCCAGTTCTGATACTAAAGAGCGGGCAATACAAACTCGTACGTCATTATATTTAAACAGAAATTATAAAATAAGAATTATACAATGGAACAAAACCTTTTTCTTTTTTTAAGTCGGTTAATTATCACGCCCTTCTCCATTCTAATTGCTATGTCTCAGCAAGTAACCTTTCTTTTGGTACAGTACCTTATGTGCTTTTATTTATTACTATGTGGATTGTAATAAATATATAAACTGAATTGAACCATAAAGTCACACGATATAATTATAATTACTTACTATACATTAGACATGGGTAATATGGATACCGATCCGATATCTATATATTGGGTTCCTATAGGCACTGATGCCGAAAAAAAGGTCATAACCAATTTCGATATCGCCCAAGTCGGATATCTATTTTCAATTTGTAAAAGTCTTGTGGCGTATTACTGGTCATCACAATTTACGTCTTTTATATAACTGGCCATCATATTCCGTCTTTCATATTTTTATATTTCTATTGTTCTTATATTTTTAGAATTCTGACATTATTAGTTTTTGTTTCCCTACCGATAAAGACGTAATAAAAGAGAACTACAATATTTAAGCATTTTTATTATCAACCCGTGTCTCTTAAGTCTATTATCCAATATTATTTTTTGGATAACAAATTTTTAACATATTCGTTATTGAATCAGTATATAGATATTGTAACAAAAATATATTATATTATATATAGATATTGCTATATATTACCCATCACTATTATACATAATTATTATAATTGCCTACTATGATACTTCATTACATATTAATTGCTAGTTTCATGTATTTATTATTATTCAGCTAATTATATCCAATTATGTAAATTACTGATATCAGATGGGATTCAAGCACACATTTGTGTTGCCAGTTATGTTTCCAAATACAGAGTTACGTGTTTTGAAATATTAAACATCATTTTAAGACCCGACATGGTTTGCCCATACTAATATTATAAATATGAAAATTAATTTCTTTGTTAGGTTGTTACTTCTAATTGTTAAACCGAACACATGTCGTTTTCTATACACGTATTTTTTTTTTTTTTTTAGATAAAGAAGGACAGGTTACTTCTTTGATTAAAAATTTTATGTTTGTAATGAACAAACACAAAAAATATAGGCAATTTCAAAAATTCTTTCCTGTGTAGAAAGTTGCATTATCAGCAAATAACATGGACTGTATTTTAGTTAAATCAAAATAATAATAATCTTCTACTTATCAACCCGTGCGAAGCTGGGATGTGTCGCTAGTCTATACGAGGTCTGTCCGGAAAGTACGTATAAAAGTTTTTTAAAAATTTTATTTTACAATTATTCAGGTAAATCAATTTTATCCCCTTCAAAGTACTCCCCCTGTGACATAATGCACTTGTGCCAACGCCGTTTCCACTGTGAGAAGGCTCCTTGAAAGTCCTCTGGTTGTAGGTTTCTCAGCTGCCCCGTCGTAGCTTTTTTTATCTCATTTATGTCCCCCAAATGCCGCCCCCGAAGTACCAATTTGGTTTTTGGGAACAAGAAGAAGTCACACGGGGCCAAATCCGGCGAATAGGGGGGGTGTTCGGTCACCGTAATGGAATTTTTACTCAAAAACTCACGGAACGATCTTGGCGCAAATTTTTTTCATTTGAAGTTCGTTTCTTAGAATTTCGTGGACCACGGTTTTGCCCAAATTAAGCTCTTCAGCCACCTGTCTGACCGTTAAACGACGGTCCCCATTAACACAAGTTCGAATTCTTTCCATGTTTTCGTCGGAATGTGAAGTGGAAGGACGTCCTGAACGTGGGTCATCTTGAACGCTTTCTCGGCCCTCTCTGAATCTTTTTAGCCACTTGTGGACGGTTGGTTCCTTCACAGCATCATCCCCATAAACTGTTCTGAGATCGGCAAAAATTTGCCATTCTTGCCGAGTTTCGAGAGAAACTTGATTACGACGCGCTGCTCTTCAACGGAAGCGGGCTCCATGCCGACGGGGTTTCGTTAAGAGGTAACTTCACAGATGGCGTAGTTCGCACCGCACGGCGGTCAGACCAAAACTGAAGCATTGTTAGGGACATAAGGAAGGGG